CGTTATCAGCACGAAACCCTAGCCACTGAGAAAGAAAAGAAAATATTTCTAATCCACGTTTCTTTCTCCGTCGCCTCCGCTTTCAATCTCTTCGAGGTCATCTTTGATTCAATTCAAGTTGTTCTGTTACCTCCGTCCAAAATCTAATCGAGATAAGTGATTGATCTGCTCATGCTTTATTGTTTATAGCTTTTTTCAATATGTGATGGCTTATTGAAACACACGTAATTGTTCGATTTGCATGATTTGATAGCTTCACCATGAAATTTGTTTGTTGTCTCTGATTACTTTATTACTTTATTGCTTTATGGTTTAGTTGGTTATATTTGGTTCACCGTTAGATTTCCCCTATTGCCACATTATCGTTGATTTATTATGACTGAATCATGCTTCTTATTGTTTTGTTATAATGCCTTATTATTTGATTTGATTGTTATGTCATTGATCGACACCTGCTACCCTTCATGGTTTTGAAAATAATCGATTATAAATTGATAAATTAAATTGGTTTGGTTCTTTGTTTAATATACATGATTTATCGCTTTAGAATTCATAATTCATAATAATCGAATCATGCTTCCAACCAATAGATCGCTTAATTATTTCATTATATAACATGACCATAATTATTTAGGTTTGTTAAGTACGGACCTTACGGTGAAGTTGCATATGGTNTTTCTTTTGAATATTGATCGATTTGGTTATTTGATTTCTAATAGAAAAATCAGTTGAGTTGATCAAATTAAATTGGCTTAGTAATTTGAATCATGTTTTTACTAATGAATTCTAACGCATCATTATATATAGTAATTGATACATAAATCAATTCATGATTCTTATAATCTTGGAGAGATGTGTAGATTTATTTTTAAATGATAATTGGATTTGTTTTCGCTGTATACGTGATTGCTTTATCAGTAATGATACATGATTTCTTTTNTAGTTTGAATATCATAATTTGACATTTGTTGGTTTGGTTATTTTGTTAGTTCGATCGGTTGTATGGATATCATTGATTTGGAGATATCTCCGTCGAAATCTCTTACCGACTTTTTCGATGCCGTTTCCAACTTCATTCGCTGATTATCTCCAAAGTCATCTCAGCTCCATCGAGATAAGTAAAAATCAAGTCTTTAGAATCATGTTTTATTAAACTATAAACCGACTCATACTTAGTAACTAATCATTTAATTATAGCCAATCATTACCAATTTATATTTTATTAGTCTAAAGACTCTAAACGTTAGCTTTGAATTAGTTTGGTAATTCACTTGTTCAAATTGGTTGGAGTTGGTTTAGAGAA